ATCGCATTTTCTAGAGGGACATCTATCAGCGTTGCACTTGCGTCTCACAGAAGAGAGCCGCATGTTTAGAAAGCTATGTAAATTAATGTAAGTTCAACTTTTAAAAAACATGTCTCAAGACTTTATGGCGGTTTTCCTCATCCCACTGCATCTCATGTTTTTAAATGAAAAAGTATTTTTGTGATTGGTTTTCGGTCCTTTGTATTAAACTATACATATAATTGTTTAAGCAACTTTATTAATTATATATGGTTTATAAGCATTATTTTAAACATTATGCAAAGATAGTCGTGTTATTTTATTATGCTTTGAAGAAACGTGCATAATATTTTGCTCGATGCGCCCTCTTGTGGCCTCAGGAGAGAAGCCAACAGCTTTTTTTCCCCCAACTGAAATTATGCCTTTTAAATTCGAATATAATTCGAATATTGATAAAAAATTCGAATTTAGTTTTTCAGCCATTTTGACAGCCCTAACAGACAGCATGTTGAAGGCGCTCAGGCCGCCATTTTTTCTTTATTCTCAGAAAGCAATAATGTAGCAGTGGTCAAAACATCCGGTAGTGTACGTTTTCCAGGAAAGGGACAAATGCATGCTTCTTGTAAATACTAGTACCGTGCTTTGTGCATATTATTTTTTGACAGACAAAATGCTACATTCAGCTGTCGTAAATTTGTTGACTTTTTTTTTTAACCAGGAAATGAGTGGTTTTGATGCACAAAGTTGTTTTTATTGTCTCTTAGAACAAAACGATTTTATTTAAACCCATGAAAACGTAGATCTTGCTGTAAACAATAGTGAAAAATCACTTTTTAAAACTCTTGTTCCATTATTACCCCTTAGCAGATTTTGACTCGTTTTGCAATGTCCACTTGTTATACGATTAAAGATGTTGATACTAGGTGCAAATATGGTCTAGATTGTCACTGACTTTAATTTTTCATTCCTCTATTCAGAATAAATGTTTGAGTAAAATATTAAATGTGTATTGTTAATACACATTAAATGTTTTAATACAACTAATATTTCACGATCAGGAGGCTGTCAGCTGGGTATCACTGCCAAAGGTGAGCGTTTGAAGCACTGGTACGAATGCCTCAAGAACAAAGACAAGAAGATCGAGCGCTGGCATACTCTGCTCAACGAGAATCACATCTCCAGCGATTAGGCTCTCAAAGCATTCTGCATGCCCTTAAGTTGTACTCTGCCCATTTTTCAACTCCATTCCCCTCCACTATCTGCATATCTTGGGCTATACCGATCTTGCTCTTGTCCGGCTGACATGTGATATGCTTTCAAGAAACAAAATGTGATGCCTGGAGCTCTTCTGTTCACTGTGACCCACAGAAACGACTATAGGTTAGCACTGAAGTGTAAAAGAACTGCACAAATATGTCACGTTCACTAATCTGGCCACAGGAGCATTGTGATTTTAAGTGTAGAAACTCCAAATATTTATCTTAATTGTTGTGGCAATGCGTTAATATCACGTGTCTTAGCAATCTCTCTTATTAAAAAGCATTATGAAAAAAAAAAAGAGGCCGATACAGAAAGTATAAGCCCTATTTTAAGCAGTTTTAACCAGTCTAAGAATGTTTACAGGCCATATAGAATGTCAAGTAAAATGACTTAATTACGTTTAGCTACGTTTTTCAAATTTACACGAGTCAGTGTTATTTGAGATTCTCTGATATACTATTTATATTTTTTGTTAATATTTGTGAATTACATTTTATTTTTATATTTTCTGTTTTCACATTAATTTTAGTTAAAATTTTAGTAATTTTGCTGCATTTCTGTCATTTTAAAAAATGTCTATAGTTTTTATTTTTTTATTTTTATGTATTAGTGTTTTTTATTATTATTATTTCATTTTTTATTTTTTTATATTATTTTATTTTAATTAGAAATGTTGCCTTGGCAACTAGCTGAAATGATAGTTTTTATTATATTTTATTTAAAGTTAATGTTTATTTAATTTAATTTTTTTATGGTTTTAGTTTTAGTTAGCTATAATAACCCTGACATTAGGTCAGAAGAACTGGCTAGTTATTTCAAACAAATAGGAAGCAACAAGTAGGGATTTTTACAGATAAGACTAAATCCAAAGAATGTCCAAACTAGAACATTTTAAACCATTATCTGTTCAGAAATGATACTTTTAGACTTAGGCTAGGTGGTCTTCTAATCTAATTCGAATACGATTTTGCTTGGTACGTCTGGTTTACAACAACACTATTACTGTATGTAAGCACACTATTCGCTAAACCCTTCAAACATGCATCCCATTTATGGTCTATAATGTATTAAAAATACAATTACCTTGTTGACATTACCATTAACAACTACATTCATGGATAAATGAAATAGGATAGACTAAAAATAGTCCACTGCATCATGTGGCTGTGACGCAAGCCAAGATTACTGTAAGAAGAAAAAAGTACTGCAGTCCAATCACATGTGAACACTGAAAGGAAAGCACAGTTACAATGGAATGACCTCAACATTTCTATTCTTTGCTGTCATTATAACCAGCTCTTATGCATGAGAGTGTCTTTGATCATAGTCAGTACAGTTCAGTTGCCTTAATAAATAATAATTCACTCCCCCCAACAAACGTTTGTCGGTGACACTTCCGGGTTTTTTCGGGAACTCCAAAACAGAGCTGCTTTACATTACATCACTTCAGTTTGAGCTGAAAAAGACTGAAGAGTGATTTGTGCTGGGTTCAACTCCACATTTCCAAAAGAGTTTTGGAGCTTTGACGTATTTTAGCAAACTCAGTTACACAAATGATGATAATTCAGTGATCCTGGGCAGAATCATCTGCTCTAATACAGCATTTTCACAGGTCTTAAATCGAAGTCATGACATTAAATGTTACATTTTGCATACATAAAAATGTATATCTTTCTCTTTTTTTTTGACCAATAAAATATCTAAACATCAGTTTGAGCTACATTAAAGTGATTATTATGTTTTGAATATGGATATTTTTCTTACAAAAACGCATCGATTCGCTACAGAAGGCCTTTGTTCACCCCCCGGAGCCGTGTGAGACACTTTTTTTTTATGGATGGGCGCTTTTTATTTAACTTCTTTTGGACTGAAGCAATGCAACACCCGCTGAGTGGCATTAAACAGCTTGAAAGATCAAAGACCATTTTTAATTATAACTCCGACTGGATTCGTCTGAAAGAAGAAAGTCATATACACCTAGGATGCCTCGGGGGTGAGTAAAACGCAGCCTAATGTTTGGGTGAACTAACCCTTTAAATCACGATACATCTACTTGAGATGCAAATTGAACATTTCAAGTCTTGTTTTTTGAGAAATTGAACAAAATGAAGTGTTTATGCTTAAAACAACAAATATCTGTCAATGAGGCATGCAAACTTCTTTTTGCTTTAAATTAAGTTGATTTTCCTGAGCCCGTTGACTGATATTTGTTCTTGTTTTAATCATAAACTTACTTCATTTTGATCAATTTCTCAGAAAACAAGACTTCATATCCTATGTAATTTTGCTTCTCAAATAAATGTATCTTTATACAAAATAAAATTTAGCTTGGTCTTAAAAGGGTTACATTTACCTTCATAAATAGGACCCAATTGTACCACAGCTGCAGTTGGTAGATTTGCGTTTTACTAAGGCATCATGCAAATATTTAATTTACGAACAACTGATTTAATCTTTTGAACCGTAATTGTGGTGACAATATATTTCATATTGTATGTGGTATTTGGTCCTATAACACCAAAATACCATCATTAACCTTGAAAGGATATTCGAACGAAAACTTTTCAAAGCTGAAAACAAATATGAACATTTATGTGGTCAAATGTGTATTTAAGCAATAAAGATGCATTGCTTCTAAAAGCTGCTCGTGTGGAAAAACCCGGAAGTGTAGTCGTCCATTGTTTGGCATCACAGAAAATTTTAAAGGGTTCATGCCACGAGGAATCAATTTTCCTTGATGTTTTCATGTATAAGAGATCACTGTATTATAAAAACACTAAGTTGAAGAACACAAAATATCCTCCAAAAAGAGCATTTATTGTTACTACACAAAAAAAACAACTTGAAATGATTATATATTTTGAATGATAGCTATGGTTGAAGTCTCAAAGGGTAAGCGTCCCCAAAAGGGAGCATTTTGGTCAAGACTGGTGAAAAATGCTCACATATTAATACATTTAGACCATCTTTGAACAACAAAAAAATATATATTGCAAGTATTATAAATGAACCTTAAGAAATGTCAGAATTAAAAAAAAGAAAATGCATGACACGACCCCTATAATATTTTGTAGTCCAGATAAATCATTTAGCTCTTCAAAATGATGAATGTGATATTGCTGTATTTTTTCACGACACCTTATTCACATGCAGAGCTGTCTATGATATCTGTCATCTGCAAAAAACGAACAAAATAGCACACCAGTCTGACACTTTAACACCATATTTGCCCGTTTAGTTTGTGAATGTTTATTGGTATAAATTTGTTCTTCTTTCATTAATGATGCAATTGTATATATATATATATATATAGTGCATGTACTTGCACAGCAGGGAAGTGTTTACTGTATGTCTGAAGTTTGCATGTATAGATTTTACTTGGAGTTCAAAACACAGAGGCCAATAAAAGTCTAAATAAACTGCAGTCATTTGTTGACTTCATTTATGTGCACTGTGAAGTCTTTCATTGCATAATAGTATTATAGTTTTTTTTTTTTTTAAAGGAAAGCCTAAGTGTATTTTGCTTCATTTATCATGAAATGTTGATATACTGAATTACAAATGAATGAATTAATTAATACTGAAAATGATCGGAATCTTGTTTTTGTTATTTTGGATCTGTCCCATCTGGAGTGGCATGAATATCCAGATTTCTGCAATCATTTCAATGTAATTCATTATAGATTTTAGAGTAAACAGGATCTGATGAAGTTAATATCACTATATAAACACACATTTCATTTCTTGTAGAGCCTCCTTTAACAGAAAAACTTCCACTAAACATTTTCCGTAGCTGCTTATAAGACTTCTGACCAATTTTGGACAGTAGCCTACAATCTAATGAACACACTGTACTTTAGTCCCTCAGCCTCGTTTTCATTCCTGTCAAAAATTAAATATGGCTCTACCCTGTCTAATGTCTATTTCTGGGTTGTCTTGATAGCACAGCTCACAACATCTGAATTGGCTTGAAGTCAGGACTCACGAAAACATTGTGTGAGAACCTTTTGTTTTGTTTCTTGCGATTCATTCAGGAGTTTTCAAATATTTGCTAAAGAAAAGGCTGCATAAATATTGACATACTGACGTCTAATTGCGTTAGGGCACAGGCCAGACAATTCATTGTCAGATTTACAATACTAGACACAAGTCCACCCATTCTCTGGAACACGCACATAGAAACGGACCTCAACTTACACATTTTCAAGAAAAACGTACAGAATTTATTTGAATTCCAGTTGTTCATAAAATGTGTTCTGCTACTCTTTGTGCTCATGTATTTAAAACGTCATTGCCAATCACATTTAAAAACTATTTTAAACATTCTATATGAAAGTTACGTAAATGTAAGAATGTTATAAATATTGTTTTTTTTCCAATTTCAGAATACTTTAAATAATTCTTTCAGTATCCTTATATTTTTTATTAAAAATATGTCTGACATTATTTATAGAACCATTTTGTCTTCATCCTTTAACCCATCCATTTATCTTTATATTTAGGTTTTTTGGTTTATTTATCAGGTCATAAAATACTAAACAATCTCTAGAATGTGGTACGACATTGTTTCTCTAAACACAATGTTTCTTTACAAATGAAACAACCGGCAAACTGTGGTCTAAGACAAACATAATAAAGTAGTAAGTTGAAAAAAAAAAACGATGCTGAAACCTTCCAGTACTTCAGTAACTTCATTAGCAAATTATTTTATTTTAAAAGCAGATCTCTAATTATAAGATCAATGTCATTTTTTATATTAGAGTTCATCCATCCATCCATTTCTTGTGTTTTGTGGATCATAATATAGCATGCAGGTGACATCAAGTGTATATTCTGAGTGGCTGAATTGTTTTATTTTTCTTTACTTCAAAATTTTATGTTTTTAGTTTCCCATAGAGACTTATAATTATTTGGTGGTTATTTTCAACATGTGCATTTAAACACTACAAAATGACAAGATAGTAGCACTACGGTATTATTGTAAATTGAAGTTATTTCCTGTAAAATTAGATTGTAAATGTGATGCATTTAATAGCATTTT